TTCCACTGCACAGACCCCCATCAAGATGCTGCAAGTCTTTGCCAGCAAGGATGGCAGTACTGGCTATCACGTGGACATCAGTGCTTGGAGAGCTGTCATCATCCAGTGCAGGACACACATCTGTCAGCTGCTGGCTGGCTCTTGCTGTGCGGCACTGGGTGTGACACTTGGGAGCAGGGTCATTTTCTGTGAAGCCAATTTACTCAATTTACAATTTTTGAGGTCCTTTTTTTTCCCATCTTGAAGGGGAAACTCTCCAGCATTGCAGTTGTGGGAGATGTTATTCTGCAAGAACTTTAAAATAACTGCCCATGGGGACAAAGTATGCTGAAAAAACAGTCATTTCATTCTGGTGTGATCACGCCCATTCATGAGCCCACCTCTTTCCCCTCTCTCCAATCCACTGCAAATTAGTTTGCTCAATTCAGCTGCAAGCTCATTGCAGGCAAGGATGAGAGGACCACGGCTTGTCCTGTGATGGGACAGCTGCCCAGCTGTCCTCACTGCTTCGAAAAAGCAGCAGAGCATACAACGCTGTGTGTAGCCTGCTCTTGGGAAGGGATGTGACTCCGCAGCCTTCTCTGGGGAAATAAAGTAACAATCCTAGTGAAAGCACAGCAAAGACTTCCAGTGGCTGTAACTAACATTAAACCACTTGGAAAGGGCTTCTTGCTCTCAACTTCTCTGCCTCTCCCACTCTCCGGGAATCTCAGAAAGGGCATAACTGGAATCCCCATCTGGGGAAGGGGAGGATAAAGAACACATAAACACCCAGCCCGGGATTTCCTACAGCTATTGCTCGTACCACAGAGACAAGAGCCACGTGCAGCAGCTCCAAAAGTAACTCACAGGAAGGGAAAGGCGTGAGATTGTTTGTGTGAAATATATACACCAGGCCTCTGTTTCCCTGAATGCAGAAGCGAGGCCCAGGGTTTTGCCAGCAGCCTGCTGCCACCCAGCCTGCTCTCTTACGCTAGCAGGTATTCGTCTGCAGCAACAAACATCCAGTCAGAGGAGATTTTCAGGATGGGTTGCTTGGCAGGGAGGGAAGGGGCAAGTGGGTGTGGAAGAGGATAAACCTGTAATGTTCCTCAATCGCGGTGCAGAAGCAGGCCTCAGATTTCCTCCCAGGGCTCAAACTTACCTTGGCAGAGCTCTTATCAGTGCTCAGCCACACTCTCACGCAGGGGATGAGCCACAGCTGCCTGGTGCACCGGGCCCTTCCTGGAACTGCAGGCTCCATTCTTTTTCTGCCCTAGACTGACGCAGTTACAGCCTTCCTCAGGGCTGACCTAGTGGCAGCTGCAAGCCACAGGAGACACGTGGATGCAGCAGAATGAGACACACAGAAGTTGTGCTCTGGCACAGGCAGGATGAGGTGGTTGCCGGTGGGAGAAACTACTTGGGGGCTAGAAATTTGCTGATTGCCTTTACAGAGAAGCATATTCAGGAGAGAAAACCCTTGTCAAGCAGTTGAGCTCTGTCCTAACTCCTCTGCACCACAAAGCACATGCCACTGGTGTAACACCCTTCTTGGCAGATGAGTACACTGGTCATGGCCCATCATTAGCTGCTGAGCAGCAGCCTTCCTTGCCAGCCAGAGTATCCCCTCTACAACACTAACCTCTCTGAGGAGGGAGGAACAGGGGAATAGCACTTTCAAAACAGTCTGCCTTGCAAACCATGACCTCAATATTGTTTGCACTGAAGTCCAAAAGCAGGAAGAAGATCAGTCTCTTCACATTTTTTGCAGGCATTCAGTAACTAACCTCTGGGACCTGGATGCTTACGAGAGAGAAAATTTCTAAAAGACAGCAATAAAGAGGACGTGGGTGCTGGGGGAGGAGGAAAGTGGGGAGGGGGAGAGGAGGGATACGTATGTCATAGCTTACCTCAGAGCCAGAATTAGAAGCTGGGTAAAAAAAATAAAATCACAGCAGGAAATAATGTGTGGCTTAAAATAGCAACATCAAATGCGAGCGGGAATGGGGAGTGGGTGGCATTTGAGGTTGCTGCTCTGTTCCTCCCTCAATGGCAGGGTGATTAATATGTCTACGCTACTTGTATTTATGTAACAAAGGGCACTAAAGGCCAAAGCTGCATTTTCACTAACACTGCAGGGGAGTCTGTGAATCTTTTCTTCCCCCCTTAGCATTAAATGGGAGGATCTGCACTTGCGCTTCCTGCCTCAGAAACAAAAAAAAAAAAATCTTTAAAAAAAAATCCATGCTTCAGCCCTGCACACACAGTTACATTTCCACAGCTTGGCATGGTGGCACAGAGACCTTTAAGGCTTTGAAGGCATTCTGCTACCTTTCACAGCTCCCCACAGAAAAAGCCTGTTCCCAGAGCACACCTGTAAACATGGTTGGGTTGTCTCTAGCTGGAGGCTGCGCTGCAATAGCAGGCAAGGTACCACTACATGTTCTTACACATTTTCATGCTCGTTCTCTGTATTTGCAGTGAATCATAGATCTTTGAGATGGGTCATGCAGTCCATTTCCTTGCCAGCACAGGACTGTTCCCAGCCATGTACTTAAACCCTCACGTTTCTCTTGCAAGACAATGATTCAGACTGATCACTCTTTTCTCTTCACACCTTGTATCCTGAGAACTCCATTAAAGACTCAAAAGCACTGATGTGTTTTGATAAGAAAGGGATATTGTTCTTGGGTGCATCAAGAACTATTCAACCTACCAAATCACTGTTCACCGATGATGCTGAAGTTACCCAGCAAAGTGGCCTTGGCGGACCTATGGCACTTGTTTTTCAGACTGTTGTGATCTCCTCTGGACTAATAAGCAGAACAGGCCTGCTCTGAACTTGCAGTGAAAGGTAGGAAAGCATCCCAAGAGGTGCAGAAAACTTGCATCTCAGTTGGCCACACTCAACACCAACCACTCCTCTGAAAGGTAGTGGTCAGTCTCCCCCTCTCCGTGTTTGGTTCCCTCAGAGAGCAAAGGCAAGAGCAAAGACCTTCCATCACCTATCTGCACACCCAGCATAAGTCTGCCCCCGCTCCAGTCAGTCCTATCAAAATAATGCTTGCAAGTATCTGTACATGCAAATAGGATAAGACCAAGTTTGTCATGTGATGAAAACCTGCTGCACAGGCCTGATCCTGATATTTCCTGACGTCAGCAAATATCTTTGACATAAGTTGGGCTGTGCTGCTGTCAGAGTAGGGAGAATCTGGCCCAGATCTCATGCAAATCTTCACACAGGCAGGCAGAGCAGCACGATTTGTTTAAACATGGCATGCTGGTGGTTGCAGACAGAAATCACTCCCAGCAACTCCATCAACATGCATAATATCCTGCTAGTTAAATCCAGCCGTGGTAAATATCTCCACCGTGTTATCCCTCCAAGCAAATATAGTACCTGTATGGAAGAAATTCCTCAGAACGTTTCCTGTCTGGAGCTGAAGCTTGCCAGGGACTGAATTTCCTGTGAGGCTACAGTTGGGAATGCAAAGCAAATAAGCTAACAAGAAAATGAGATGATACGTATTTGGACCTGCTCTATACAGATCCTCCTCAGCAAGTACATTTCCCCCCTGTTTACATAAAAATGAAGTGTCTAGATTTTCAAATATCAGCTGGGTTATTTTTCATTAGTAATTCTTATTTTTACCTCACTGCCTCCCTTTCTACCTGTTTTTTTCCAGCTGCAATTCTGTGACTTACACATCCTGAAAATGAAAGAGGTTGTTTTTGCCAATAGCAAAGTGATATGCATCCTTTCAACCATCTGGAAATGGATTTTTTATTCTTCCCCTCTCCCAACCCCACACGCACGTGCACACACGCAACCGAGTCTTTGTCTCTCGGAATCATTTCCCGCACCAAAGCTGATGGCCATGAAAAGAATTCAATAAAAATGTTCCACAGGCATTAAGAGGCCGAGACAGAATAAACAGGGTGACTTCCTGGGCACTTGTTCTCATCCAAACTGCCACCCCATGAGGAAGTGATGAATGCAATGGAGCATACGGTTCAGTTGTTAGAGATTAAGAGAGGTAGTTTAAGGCTCCTGTGGTTTTGTCCTGGCTCTGCTACAAACCTCCTTTGTCACTAAGAGCAAGTTGCCTACTTGCTTAGTGCCTCAGCCCACCCCCCCACCCCATCAGTAGTAAATAGGGATATGCTTTCTAACCCCATGTGATGATCAATGCATTCATGTTTGTAACGTGAGCTGATCTCCAGAGATAAGGAAGTAATCTAAAGTGAAAACCGCCATGGAAACTCTATGCTGAGCCTAATAGAGTCAAGCAGGACACTTTAGGAGCCAAAGACCAGACTTGATCATCCCTTGCCCAGAGGCAAAATGTTAAGTGAGCTATGTCACCACGCTATCCAGATGACTGCAGGTCTGCAGGAGGAAACAAAGAAGAGCCAGAGCCACACTGACTGGTACAAACATGCTTATGGTGTCCAGCTGAGAATGAGTAACAGCTGCTTGCTCATCATCCTGATTTCTGTCACTACTAGTGTTTCTGAATGCTGAAGTGTCCCAATGCTGTGACTCAGGGCTATGAGTCATGGGCTGTATGTCTCCACCGCATGGAATCACTCACTTGCTCTCTTTGATGAGATTGCAGAAATCACAGATCATCTTGGGTCTCTTACAGTGGTAGGTCTTAAAAATATAGACATATTTACAAACACATTCAGAACAAAGCCATTCTGTCTAAAATACTGTCTACTGGGGATTTGTATTAGAGCTCAATTTCACATACACAACCCACCCAATAAATCTAGGAAAAGTAGAAGTCTTTTTTTCCTTCTGTGGACATTTAATTTCTATATCCTCAAAGTCTGGCTAAACAGGATGCAGTGCAGGTAGCATTCAACCTTTTGCTTCCCCTGCTTTTACAAGTCACATTTTTAGACCTGAAATGCTGACATCAAGGCAACACAATGCTTTTTGGCACCGGATCTGCCTCATCCTTGTCAAGGCTCTCCAGCCTTCCACATAAGGAAGCTTTGATCTAGTGGCATTCTACTAACCTCAGTGCTAGGCTGCAATTAGTTGCACTCAGGGCTGCAGCAGAAGCCTTCTTTGAGTTGGCTCTCAAGACCTCAGAGAAGACACCAGATACTGCCAAGGTATCATCAAATCTGTGTTGACCACGTACAGTGCAGCAGACCATTTTCCAATCTACAGACTGCAACAGTAACCAGCTGCGCATTCAGGAGCTCACCTCCAGTTTCTGTAAATTCTCTGTTGATGCAGGTGCAGCTAAAATAGCCACCACTTCTCTTGAGATGAGGGAGAAGGGGCTCACCTCAGCACTGACCTCACTGGCTGGGAACCTCCTGCACTGTCCACCCATATAGAGCCTAATCAGTGAAGTGGAGGCCCCACGCTGACAAGAGTGGGATTGCCGATACTCCTCTAGTGGCAGCACAGTTTGTGTTGGCAAAAGAGTGTTTCTGTTGGCATATGCCTCTTCCCAGAATTGATTAAGTCATGCCTGGTTTTGAAAATACCTCTGCAGAAAGGTGTTTTGCCGGTGTAAAGATGTAGTAAAGAATCACTCTCTCTGCTCACAGGCAGCCTGAATCCTTCCCACAGAGGCAGACAGAAGAGTGCATTGGCAATCTCTCTGAGTGGGCTTCTGTGTGGTGGACAGGGTGAGTGCACTTATAGATCTGAACTAGTGCAGACAAACACCAAGATCCATACTAGGAAAGCAAACAATGCTCTGAGCCCAGGGACTCCCGGGTGATAGGAAGTGACTTCAGCGCACCAATTCCTCTATTCCCGTAACTCTCTGTGGGTTTGCCAACAATCCTTATCATCCTTGCTGAGAAAGGAGCGGTTTGCTAACTGATTACATCCATGTTTCCTTACTGTGGTCAGTCAGTTGCTGCATACCAGAAACAGCTGGTACAATTGATAGATAAGCACACGTCTCAATGGATTTTCCTCTGTCTGCTGTAACCACATCCATCCCTGCAGCGACGAGACAGGCAGTTCTAGAAAAGAGTGAAACAACACAGAGCAGTTTCGTTACCTGTATTAGTTTTCTAGAAACACTAATCCAGGGAATATTGACTTTTCCCACATTTCCATACAAAATACTGCAGGTCTCCGTAATGGAAGGCAGGATGGTCCCAACCCTCCCTACCAGCCCCACAACACAGCACATCCCACAGCCCAACAAGACAAAGACCCCTACAGACAAGGCAGTTCAACTGCTGGACCAAGAAGATGGAGGGCTCAAGATCCAAGATATCAGGACCCTCGAGATACCAACTCTAAGCCAGGATCCGTGCCCTGTGCTGACACAAGGTCAAGTCCAACAACACAACCTGAGACTAGCCAAAAAGTGAGCAAGACTGAGTTTTTTGAGGACAAGCATGAATGCATTTGGAATTTTACCCCATTTTGATTAAAGCTCTCTGCACCTTGAGTTCAGCATTTTTGGATAGCCTGAAGGCACTCTTCAAATGCAACAGCACAGTTAAGTAATAAAACACCTCACTATCACCTCTACTCCAAGCACATTGCCCTCTTTTAAGCAGCACATCATGACAACAGTCATCTCAGGCCAAATTTCTCTTCAATTTGAGTCATAGGAGTATCATCAGAAATGGAGTTAGCCCAGTTTGTTAAGTGACTAGAAAATAGTCAATATTATTTTGGTTTCTGTCCTTTTTTTCCGTATTAGTTCCTGGAATCTGGTTTGTACTCATGACCCTTCCCTCGCTGTGAGCTCACACCATGAGATGGGCAGGAATGTTCAAATAGCATCTTCTTTGACCTTTCTGGTACTGAGATGTTTGTTGTTGCTTTTTTTGAGGTTTCTGAGAAGCTCCCACAAACCTCTGTCCCCCCATCTCCTGAACTGCATCTGCAGCATCCAACCACAGTCCCTCTGGAGGGCAGCGTGGCTCTCACAGTGACGACACCACACTCTTAATTTGTTCCAGCCTGTTTCACACTGACATTTTAGCACTGACGTCATCAGCTGCTGAAATTTCATTGCTGCTGCTAAGAATAACAGCCCTCCTCATCCCCCACCTTACACCAAATAATTATTTTAATACAGTAGGGATCTAGGCTTATCTTTTCTGACACAAATCAGGTTCTGGTGGTTAAAAGAAGAAGTAAGAACAAAGCATTGCAGATGCTTTTCTGTTCTGTCAGCCTGGGACAAAAAAAAACCCAACCCAATACAAAAATCAAGAGTATATTGCTAAGTGCTAAGAGTGCTATAAAAAATGAATGGGAAAAGTTCAGACTGATTTGTTTAAAGCAGTTGGACAGTCTTAGGCATTGCAAATTGCTCAAATAGCCTAGGCTACAGTCTGCCCCAGCAGTCCCTTACAAAGCCCCTTCCAAATTCTCTGAGGCTTTGTACCTTGAACATTTACTTACACTGGTGCAGTTGGGCATAAAGTACTGCCAAATCAGAATTTCCCATTGACTTTAGGGCCTGAACCAAATCCCATTGATTTCCGTGGGAGGATTTCTATTAACTTGAATGGGCATTGAATCAAACCTAAATTGGCAGTGCTCTGCACCCATTTGGCACAGTGTACTTCTCTGCATAAGGTGGAGAATCAGGTCCAAAGACACTGAGAAATGCTTTAATTAAGAGCATTATTGAGGAGAGCAAGCTTTTTCTTCATTAAGCTGATAAACTAGATTTATTCTATACTTTTAATGGCAAAGGGTCAGATTTTCAAAGACGTTTGGTCTAAAGATGAAGCTGAATGCTTACAGGATTTCCAAGAAATGCTTAAAGGCAAATCAGGTGCTGAGAAGCCTTTCAAATAACACATCTGTATTGTTATTTACATGCTTTCAAAAATCCTAGGAGCTACCTATTTGCCTTTTTTGTTGCCTTATACACCTATTTTGGTAGTGTTCTAAATCTCATTAGAAGTTATAAGATGATCATTGCCTGCAGCCAGAATCCAGGTCTACTCACTGATTCCTGACCAGGCCTGGGCCCTCTCAGGCACACTGAGCAGCAGCTGCAGTAACTGTGCCAAGTATTGCCTATGGGTACCTGCCCCCTGTGTCCCCCCCCCGCCCCATTCCCCACAGAAGGAGAACGGCACCTCCATCAGGCACAGCAAGTCATCTGCAGTCCCTTCTGGTCAGGACTGACAAAGGCCTTTAAAAACCAGACATGCAGAGGTCCTGGAATTGTTATTTTCAACCCCTGCTAGGGAAGTCAGCAGCTAGCACAGCTTCAACTCCAAAAGCAGACCTGAACCTAGACGGACTCGCATCTGGTCAAGGAGAAAATTCTCACAACTTCTTTATTACTGCTTCGCCATCAATTCCGAGGTCTGGAATCATTTCCTATGTTGCTGCTGACCCTCTCAGGCACCTTCCTCTACTGCTTGATCTTTAGAAACTGATGCCTTCATTATCTCTGCATCTCCCTTTACTACAGAATAAGGCAAGTTTTAGTAGCTGGCACTTCTGATGGATCCTTCAGTTACTCAGCAGAAGTTATTTTGCCTGGCTATTATTTTTCATTTGGACTTGAGTGTTTGGCATGGTCTTTTTCTGGAAAGTACAGGGAGATTGATGATGAGGCATAAGAGACAGACATCTCTGCTTAAAAATCCTAGAGGCTGCAAAAGAGAGAAGATGAAAGCAGCATTGTCACACTAAAAAGCCTTCCCCTGAAGTGCCACAGGGGAAGAGAGATCGGGAAAAGGCTGACGAGAGGAAAGCAAAGAGAAAGTGAAAGTGGTGTCAAAGCCAAGCCTTGAACATGAAGTACAGGAGCTAGGAATGACTCTTCCGACCCCTGGCAGCCATTCTTTTTTGGCCTGAATCAGTCAGCAAGGTCACATGCCACTGGGCCAACAGGAGCATATCTCTGAGCTGAGGTGCCTCTCCCAGCAAACGTCAGGATGGGCTTGGTTAGAAGCCTGAGGGATAGTTGCAGCCACCTGATTTCCTCAACCCTCATGCTAACCTCTTCCTCTCTTCCTCCCCATGACTAATTTCCCTTCACCTCCTCCCACGCACACCCCCAGTTCCTCACCCCGTGCATTTTTATGCACAAAAGACACTTGCTAGATTACACCACCTGCTACTGGGATAAGTATCAGGTAAAGAGATAGGAATGTACTGGGCACCATGACTCCTAAAAACCAAGGAAAGGAAGAAAAATTTCTGCTTGGCATTGGCACAGGGGCAACTCTCAAACCAGCTCCTTCTGATAAGAGACCTGCTTCTGGATTGGAGCTAAAAATGTGCTCTTTAAAGAAAATTTAAGTTGTTAAAAAAGCTGCTCACTACAAACAATAAGGCCTCAAACACTCTCATGTCTGTGCTGGGGAGTCAGAGTGCCAGATCATACCAGAGCTGGTTCAGCTCCAAGGGGGTAAGTCATGACTTGGAGCCACGCACTGAAAGCAAAGCTGTGCCCAGCAGGGTTCCTGGGTGTGAGTGGGAATGGCGCTGCCCCACCAAATACCTTTTGCTTTCTTTTGCTGACATCTACAAAACTGCTCCCAGCTTCAGGCTGTGGCTCTGGTTCTGTTCCGTACCAGCTCTACCATGGTGCTGCTCCACCAAGGAGCAGTTTTGAATCTCAGCTTCCCCAGGGCGAGCAAGAGGGGGAATAGGCCTATGGTTTCATTTGTTGCTTACACCAAAAAACATTATCTAATTAAAAATCACTAGAAACCACATCCATTTGCAGAAATGGCTCCGCTTCAGAGGAATCTCTTAAGGCAAATAAGTGAGTAATTTTTAAGGGTTTATGAAAATAGCCTCTATAGTTACACTCGCTAGGATAAAATTACAAGTGTTTTCAATCCTCATACTTTGGGGCATAAGTTGATCCTCAGCTGGGGGCCAGGGAGGAATTTCCTCCCAGAGGATATTATTGTTCTGCGAAGTATCTCATGGGAGACTCACATCCTCCAGAGTTATCTGGCATTACCCACTGGAGGAAAAAAAAAAAAAAAAAAAAAAAAAAGAAAACCCAGGAAGAGGTACTGCTCCGGTCTCCTCGCATCACACCTCGGGGGCCCGGCCGGGGGCGGCCCCCGTTGTTGCACAAGCTGCCCCGTCCGGTGTTGTAAGGGACCCCGGAGATCCGGGAAGGGCGCGGGACGGTCCCGCTCCTTCTGGGAAGCGCCGTGACTCACCCACCGCCTCGGGACCCTTCCCGGCGCGCCTCTCACCCCGCCCCTCGCCGGGCAGCCAATCAACGCCCCTTTATTTGCATACCGCGCACGGTGCTCCTGGGATGGCGACGGGGGCTGCACCTCCCGCTCCTCTCCCGCCACCGTCGCGCCGTCGCTAATGCGGAGCGGAAACCCCTCAAGAAAGAGCGGAAGGTGCAACCTGAGGGAAAGCACCCCTCACCCTTACTTTAGGATGAAAGAGCGGCGGGGTTTTATATAGGGGGTCAGTACACACCCTAAGTTGCCCGGATGACCCTCAGTGGTCTGGGGTGCAGGCTTCAAACCTGTAGCTGTCTAGCGACAGAGTGGTTCAATTCCACCTTTCGGGCGAGAGAAAAAGCCAGAGCACGAACACTGCATACCTTTTCACCCCAGCCGGCCCCCGAGGCAAAACACAGCATCACTCCCCCTCTGCCAGACCCAGCACCACAAACCATGTACTTTAGTTACCCTCTTTCCACTTTTCTCCCACACCACTGGACTGTGCTGGGCACAGCCAAAGGAAGGGAAATCTCCCAAGGGTGCCTGGGTGACAATTCTAGATTTTAATTGGATTCTTCTCTGTTTAGCATATCTTTGTTAAACAGTGTCACACATCCTACAAGAACAGAAAAAAGTAAATAACAGAAGCCATTCTCTAGCTCTGCTCCATATTGACAATAACCCATCTCCCACCCACACTACAAAAAAGATGCTTCACTTCAGCAGTAGGCATGGGTGCTAATAATGTCACCCAGCCCCATGAAAACTAAAGGTTAGCATCAAGCTAAAAAACATATTCTTCAAGCAGAAGGCATATATTTCATGATACCCTGTTGCAACAACTCCAGTGGATGATCTGTGGAGCCTCTAATTAAGATGAGACCCCAACCACTTGGACTGCAGGGCAGCAAGGGTTGAGAGGGCTTTTTCACTTTATCTCCTGGCCCCACAGGCAGGAAGGGTGATTCTGCCTGGTGATTTCCAGAAGAAATAGAGTGAATTATCAAATCTTTGGTGTTCCTGGGTGCTTTCCGAGGGATGCAGTGCCATCCAGAGTTAAGTAGGTAAGCACCCCTGAGGATCTAAGCCAGAATGACTGTGCTTCCTTTACACAGAATGAGTCACTCCAGCTGAAGGCCTGGGAGGAGAAGGGAAGGGCACTGAGAGCCCTGACACCATTCCCGATGGCTGCTACTTCGAGTCTGCAGACCCCAGAGCCAGTTAGAGAAGAGCAGCCTTGGTGCCAGCAAAGCACATCGTTCCAAGAATATGGTGTCCCGTTATGGGAAAACTAGAGGGAAAAGCCCCTCTGAAGCATGTGCCAGCTTCTTTGTGGCCTTGCAGGAGATGTGCGTGCACTCTCCCCGGCACAGCTGGGAGCGCCCCAAGTCCCAGATGGCTATCTGCTCCATGCTGCTCTGCCTACCAGCCAGCCTCCCCTGCCCATAATGAACTGTCAATGTGGAATTTCTCTGCGGCCTCAGAAATTGGTATCTGCGCCGCAGTTTGGCTGGGGGGTTGTGTTTTAGGGGTGAGGGGGAGAGTTGGAAAGTCCTTTGCCCAGTAGTGGGCAGCTGAGAATGCTAGCGCTCCATGTCAGTTACCAAGCAGAACATAATACAGCTCTTTCATGTGGTGTTTATAACTGAACATGCTGTTTTGTGTCAGCCTGATTTTTTTTTTCCTTCCAAGAAGTAGTTTTGGATTAAATTATGACAATTACATTCTTATATTCACCCCCCCTCCCAGCCAGCCCCCACCCTTGCCCTGCGTGCACACAAACACAAATGGGAATTATGTGCTCTGAGCGTGATTTGAACTACACAGCCTGGGATCTGTGCTTGGCATTGAGTTCACTTTTTTTCCTCCAGAACAAAAAGGCCACGTCCACTCTGCACTCTTTCATTGCCTTAGGATAAAGTAAGATGGTCAGATTGCTGGTGTGGTTGATTTGTCCCTCAGGGAGTTGATAGGGAAAACAGACTTTCAAGCACATGACAGAGGAGGCTGGCAAGCCCGCGCTGGGGAGGTCATGGTAAGTGGGGAGAGCTTTGTGAAATCCCCTGTGGATCCCTACTCAAGATGCTTACACACCCCCAATCTGGCTCCTGTACCTGGGCAGTGCCTCATCTGAGGCGTAAGGCAGGCACATGGCAGGAAGCAATCCCATCTTTTTGGGCTGTGCTGTCCAGGGCTGCACCTCTAGCACAAGGGGGAACCCCAGGAAACACGGGTGTCCACTAGGACAGGAGACACGGCAAGGCTGCTCTCCCAGCTTTAGCTGACACAGTAGGTGGGACAAGGCCTTAAGAAACAGAGCACCCTATATTTTGGTGCTGTTTTTTAAACACTGATTGGAGAAGAACACCACAGAAGAACACACACACCTCCAGTGTGGAGGCCTGTGTAGATGATCTGTCTGTAGGAGGGACATTTTGCACAATGCCATCCATGTCTTGTCTGAGTCGGCTTTGTTTGGAGTCACTCATTAGTCAGGCAAAGCTTCCAGTGTTTGAACCTGAATGTCACTTTCTTCCCTGACAAAGGGCCAAATTAAGAGGAGCCAAAGGCCTCACCGCTAGTTAGGGGTTACTCAGAGCCAAGATGCACGAGAGCCTGGCTCCTCAGCCAAACATAATCTGCCTCCTGTTGTTTTCCCCACGGAGTCACAGCACGGTGAGGAGGATGTGCTGGTGACAGATGGCTGACGCGACTTGCTAAGCGTACGGGGTGACTGGGCTGTGACTCAGCAAGTGTTTGGTTACAAGAGATTGGGAGCATGTGCTTTTGCACTGGTAACAGTGGCTCTAGCTGGGTCTCCTGAAGGACCAGGCATGGGCTGTCATCTGAAGCCTGTGACTGCCATCTTCCATGGAAGGAAAGCAGGCACACGTGACCCATTGGGGCAGAAAGTCAGGCTCCTAAATGACTGTTTACATTTGTAATGGATAATGTCTGAGTGTGTATAAATATGTGACGTGCCAGTGGTGTTTAGATGTCCTACTGGCCTTCAGAAAGGAAACCATTCAATATCCTGGCCTACAAAAACGACCATCTTGCTTGGAGGGAGTAGGACTCTGAAAACTTCTGTTGCAGTTGAGTCACTAGAGGGGGACAAAGACCTAGCCTGCATATGCATCCATCTACCAGTTCCCCCTCTGCAGCTGTGGGAGACACCTTGGAAAAGCAGGAGCACAGATGGCTCTGATCTTCCTCAGGCCTGAAGGTGTCCAACTGCTGGGACAGCTTTCTGGAGGCTGAGCACACAGCTGGGGATCAGCAGTACTTGGGAAACAAAGCCACTCCTTTTCCCCCAAGAAGCAGGATGGCACATGTATGTGCATGTGCAGGTTAGCAGCCTTTTGTTGGCTCTTCCAGCATTTCTCCCTACCTAGAGCCTGACTGTCCATAGTTGGCCTGAGTTCTCAAAGGCTAAATTCCAAGCACTGCAGAGGACAAGACAGTGTCACCCAGACAGAGGATCTAGACAAACATTTATGTTTACAGACACATGCCATTTTTCTCCCTTCTCCTCTTTTATGAATGGGAGAGAACTGAATTTTCAGATCTGGATGGGTGCCAGGGGTTACTGTTGTCTCTGTGAGACAAAGACGTCATGGAAATATTGGAGGAGTTGAACAGAATGTACCTGTGTACATCCCACACATGCACAGAGAGCCAAAGTGGCCGTGGCAAGCAGCACAGCAGTGCTTGCAACTAACATATTGACCTGGAGTGCTTAAAAGCTACTACACACGCTCTCCTGGTGAAATGTCGGCCGTAATGACTCATACAAATGGATCGTGATACGCAGCCCTCAGCCCAGCCAGGCTATGTGTGGAACCAAGACACTCCCATTTTCTCCCCTCCAGCATGCTTCCCTGACCAAATCAAGGACTGAGCCATTTGGCTCTGACTGGAGCTGGTCAGAACATGTTTTTCTTTTCTTCTCTTTCCCCCTCCTTCACCCTTTGGAAAATCTTGACATTTCAGCAAAGGGCTGAAAACCCAAATCCTGAATATTTTCCATTGGAAAATGCTGGGGGAAAGGGAGGGAAATAATCCCCACACTGCCAACAATCAAACCTCTTTTGCTTTTAAGACTTTGGGGTTTATGAGGAGGGGGGCACATTTGGAGGTCCGTGAACACTTTCTATGAAAGTATCTTTCCTCTCAAAACCAAATTTTTCACTAGAAAAATGTTCCAACTGGCATAATTTTCACTGGTGATGGTTTGGACCCTCTCTACATCTAATTTGGGAATGGACCTGAAGAAAATGTAATTCATTTTATTGGAATATAAGGCACAAATGACATTCCCACAGCACAATTGACATATACTTGGCATTCTCAGTATCATGAGACTATTCCCTGATATTCTTTCTTTGTCAACAGTGCTGTTCACACAATCATCTCAAGAAAGTTTGGAACCCGGTCTCTGGAGATACCACACTCCCATCACACTCCCAGAGCTCCAGTTGACTTGCCTCAGACCTCAGAGCACATTCCAGAAGAGAACTTACCTTTCACAAGATCACATCAAAGGCTGTAAAGGAAGCAATATGCACAGAAAGGCGTGTTACCTGTAACTATCTCTTGAGTAACTGATAGCACAGAAACACTTACAAGGCATTTTGTTCTGATGTCTTCAGCTGATTTACATTTCTGTCTGAATCGTAATGACACATCTGTTTCATCTTGTTTTTGCACATAATTCTGCTTTCCTGTAAGATAAAAATAAAAAAAAGGGACAATGTTAGCATAACAGAACACACATACTTGTAGGAGATGAATTGTGCCCTAAAACTTTTTCTAAATGTGGCTAATAGCAGGTTACAGTTTATAAAAGGAAAGATCTTAAAATGGGCACACACTGGTCATAAATAAACTAAGGCTGCAACCTTGCAGAAACTTTTAAAAAAATAGCAGAGTGAAGTTCAGAATAACCTTAAAAGACAAGCAATGGGAATAAAAAGCTTAATTGTTTGAAGACAGATCTTTATCAGTTGTGGGACATCATGATAGCAAAGGAGTAGATTCAATGATCAAGAGAACCCTTTTAATTTGTTGTGCCCCTTTCCCTGTTTTTTTTTCCACACTGAAGCTTCCCAGTTACTATTTACATTCTCTCTGGTATGCAACTGCACTGCTGCACTTCACTCTGATTTAGTAGAGGTCCCTATCTCTTGTCACTCCCAGTTTTTTCTGAACTAACCACCTGTATTTTAATTCAGTCAGCACCAAAGAAGGGGCATATCTGACTTCATCAAACCCCCATTTTTTATTCTTTTCAGTTTAGGAATATCTTTTTGCAATTGTTAAAGCTTATAAAGCAGTGGGTTTAGAAAGAAAATGATGCAAAATCTCAGTTTTAGATCTCACCTATGTTGGTTGAGGACAACTACATTGCATGTTAATAAAAGGAAGAGGCACTTCCTTTATCAGAATGTCTCTGATAACTTAGTGTCAAGAAATACAAAGTTCCCAAGGACCTGTATTGGTTCTCTGTGTCCTTTGTAATAATTTTTCAAGGTAAGTAAGCAATTTTTCACTTACAGAACCCTATTCCCGAGTTAATAAAGTCAAAAGATCAAGAGTTTTAGTCCCTCAACTTGAAAACACAACTGCATGAAAGAAGGCACAGCAGAAAACTAAGGAACTGCCATCCGGATATGCAGAGCTGTAACCAGCCCCTGGAAACCCACACACACATAGCTGAGATGTAGCTATGAGCTGTCCTTGCTCCCATCAGTACTAAAGGGGCAGATGCAGAAACAAGGAGATTCCAAATAAGAAGATAAAGAGTCAAATGAATCACCCTGTCACTGTGTGAAATGTAACGACTGGGAGAGCCAACAGATTAAGCCGGGGCTTGTGGCTATTAACATTCACGGAAACATGTTCCATAAATTCAGCTTTCCGAGAAAAACTGGATTCTAGCTTCCTTCTGGTAATTTAAAGAGGCAACAATCTGTTCATATGACCTTCAGATCGGGCTGGTACAGGAACTGAATCCTACAATAAAAATTGAAGAATGGTCCTCCCCACACAGCACTCTGCTCCCAGCTAGGGCAAGGTAAGAGATTGTCCAGGGAGTGCACTCAGGCCTGGACATTTCCCTCTCCCTTTTGTTTCCTCAGTATTCACCTTTGTTGGATCGGGATGTTAGATTGTATATTTTCCCTGTTCCTTTTAGTGTCATTTTATGGACTTGTTGCCTGCAAATTTGTCTAATGCCATTCTGAGCCCACTGCTGCTCTCTGCCTCTGCAGCCTTCTGGGCCAGCAACTTCCAGAAATCCTTTACCTAATCTGATGTAATTTCTTCAGTCTGCTTTAAACTCATCTCCTACTAGTTTCACTGAGTGCTCCCTGTTCTGCTGTTGAGGGATTTGGCTACTAATGGCTCTGCATTCACCTCAGCCACCTTGATTTAGTGAATCCAGTCCTTAGCCACCAGAAAAATAGCGAAGCGTTGCGATACTGGGTTGCTCAGCTCACTTCCGTCCCTGACACTTGCTGACCTGCCCAGAATGGTTTTGCGCCTGGAGCACTCTGGCTGTTACCAAACTCAGGGGAGAAAAATAATGGCAAAGCAAAGGGAGTGCAACTTCCTTCCAGGGCTGTACTCCCCACGCAGCTGTTCAACAATGACGCAACGGGTCCGTTTTGCGGTTAAGAGCTGGATGCTGATGGCTCAGTCCTTCTCCTGGGGCTCTGCAGATCTGGGCCCAGCAGGGGGCTGCAAAGCAGCAAGCAGCATTTCAGGGAGGGTAGGCTGGCAGCCCTGGCGGGGGTGTCCGGGGCATCTTCCAAAATGGCTTTAATTAATGAGCACATGTGCAGCGAGGAGAGTTACAGCATCCCACTCAAATTGTTGACTTGGAGCCGCTTCTGGAGACAGCCGTATTCTGCTCATTAGGAAAGAGCTTTTTTGCAATGCCCTTGGATTGGATGGCTCTTGGATTGCACCACAAGATCAAGTCCACGTACGGGCTGCTTGCCTTTCAGCTGCCAGCTCCAAGAGGGTTGTTTTTCTTGTCTTCTCATTCTCAAGGAGTGCTCAGCCAGATGGCCTGTTTTCGAATGCACTGTGCGTTGGTTGGATGTGTGTTTGGAGAGTCTGCCAGCTTCACGAGAAGGAAGAAAGAGCAAAAGAAAGGGAAAAAAGCACCATTTGGTATCTATCTCTGGGACCCAGCCAGAGTTGAGGCTCTGTTTGAAGAAGGGGGGAGTCTTAAGAAAGAAACTCTAGACAAAATTGAAAGCTGGAAAAACTTTCAAGCTTGACAGACTGGGAGACTGAAGTTCTGTACAACATCCATCTACTACCTGGCTCCATTGCAAACGTGTAGCAGACTTCCTCAAAAACGATAAGAGCAAGCACAAGCACCAAGTGCCTATCTCTCTGCTCTCCCAACATACCTCACCTGTGGGCTGGGATGTGGAGAGGTGACCCAGCCAGCCTTCTCACCAAGGCTGGGTGATGCTGCCTGTGGCTTCTGGAATTTTCCTCTCAGTTCACCAAAACCAGAAATTACAGCATCCAGCCTTGGACACATCTGCTCAGGAAGAGGAGACACAATGGAGTAGTATGAAATACCCACCACCATGGCCCAACTCTCAAAGAAGCTAGCCTTAAGTAGTAAATTAGGCCAGGCCAATGTCATTTTCTTGCACTCCCTGATATTCATTTCCCAGAAACACCTTCTGTTTATTTGGTGCAGCAAATAAACACAGGCCAAACCAGAGAAATGGCTTTTTCTGTCACTCATTGGCAAATAATTTGAACCTGACAAGAAAAATCTGTTGTTGAAGGGAAGGGGGAAGTTTTGAAGTTTGCGTGTATTGTGCTTGGCTTTCTTTTCTTTACTAGATGCCATGTTGTGGTAACAACATATTGTTACAAGCAGCAGGAAGAGGTCTTGTTGAGCAGAGCTGGAGAAAGCCATGTTTGTAACCATCCCTGCTGGCTGACATGCCACTGTGTCTTACAAGCAGACTTGTCTGCTCGCTTACTGAAACCATGTCACAAAGAAGATGGTTGTAGCAGCATGTGTATCTGTGCAGGTGGGTGTGGTACCTGCAAACCCCACTTCTCCACTGATTGCACCAAATTATTTTCACTGAAGTGTTGGGAATTTGCAAGTCCAGGGTGGACAGTGTGTCCATGGCAACACCGGCTGGGCTGTGTGTTGCAGACACTGTGCAGACAGCCAGGGTACAGGGGGCTCTTCTCACTCCTGCTGTGGGCCACACATCTCAGGCAAAGCCTGTTGGTGTCTACAGCACATCAAAGCACCTGTGGCTTCAGGACTGCCTGGCTGTCACTACAACACGTCCAAGAGCTACACAACACTGACTTCACAGCAGTAGCAAGAACAGCAGCTGCAGGCCCCACCCTGTGAAAAGCAGGACCTTTCCCCAAATAGGAAAAGGTGAAAACCTCATCAGCTCTTGGCAAAACAGTGTCTCTGACCTAGGGGTGCAGATGCCGTCCTGGAAGGGAAGGAGGATTAGTTGGTTCAAGGTAGTGATTACACCACACAAACACATTCTTGCATGGGTAGGAAGGCTACACAAAGAGATTGCCTCCCTTCCTACTCCAACAGGACCCAATTTTGGTAAATAACCCTGGCATAAAAAACAGGCTGCAGTACCTATTACATAATTAAGATACTGGATTTTCTGTCTGCCAAAAAGAGGTGGGAAAATCCAACAGTAAGTTCAACCATTCTCTCCAGGGTTTTAGAGGGCTCATTACACCATTCAGGCAATTGCCTGATTGTCACCAAGTGTTGTCATGGAGCTGGTAAAGGACGGATTTCTGTCCTTAATTGCACAGAAAATTCAGAGGTCTAAGAGTCACAAGATTAGGCTTCGCCACAGTTAGGCTAGTTACTGCACCTCTTGGCAAATGGAAAAAATTATTACCACAACATTCACATGAGTACACTTGGGAGGAGGTAGCTCCCAAACAAAGGTCCTTGGTGCACTTTGGGTGGGAGCTCAGCCAGAAACAACACCCAGCCATCCGGTCACCCAGGCTGCACTGGCTGTGTCAGACATGAACACCAGCCTCTGCATTTTTCACACAAGGTTATTTTCCCCTTCTTTATTTAATTGCTCTAGTGCTACCTGACTTGTGGACATGTGCATTTCCAGCACACTGCATAACGTGGCACAAGTTGACAGTCCAGTCTGAAAAAACAATTCCCTCTAAGTTATCTGGCCAAGTATCATTACATACCTAACATTGCCCAAGGAGGACAAGCTAGAAGAATTGTCCAAACATGGGATTTTGGAAATATGTGTACTGTAAAGAGAGAGGAGGCCTGCCTTCTGGCACCAGTCCTGGCTGCTCTGTCACCAGCCTTTGTGTAAAAACTTTTTAGCCACTCAGTACCTGGATGGGACATCTCAAATAGATAAGGGACCAGAGGTTCAGAAAGTCTCCTCTCCAGCTAGGGATAGGTCAGTACATATATCAGCATGGCATAAGTGGTATTGCATTGTCCATTATGAACAACAGTCTTGAGTATGGTTGCACCTGAGTTCAGTAGCACCCACCGGGGTACTGCAGAGGATGGCTCCAACTTTGCATCAGAACAACTCATTTAGACATCATTCTCCTTCTATGGCTCAAGGCTTTCAGAAGGTGTGAACTCCCCAGTCCAGTTCAAAAATGGCCACACATCTCCCTTTCCTCCATGCATGGCCTCACT